GTCCGTGGTGACATCGGGGTGGGCCAGGGCAAGGCCACCCCATGTGGGGTCAGCGGTGAAAAGGCACAGCCCCAGCGCCCTGTCCCAGTATCCAGTGACCAAGCGTGGTGCGGGCTGGGACAGCGGGAGCGGAGCCTGCCCAGCTGCAGCGTGAGGTGGCTTCTTGCAGTCACCTGAGACGTTTTTCTTTCCAGGTGTGAGGAAACTCGCCCGCAGAAGTGGTGCACATGGTGCAGGGAAGGATGTGTCCTGCTTCTTCGGCGTCTTACAAAAGCATCAGGTTAACATGCAAAAGGCGGCACACACGTATGTGAAGAAGGTGGCAGCAAAACCTTAAAAGAGCCTTTGTAAAGAGCGCACATCACATAATGTTGTATAAAAAACCTAGATGGTCCCTGGGTGGGAGTAGCTCACACTGGGAAAAGGAAACGTTATAACCTTTCCTTCAGGGTAGGATTTGCCCACTCTGGGAAATTCCTTAGTGATGTGACCCCCATGTGTGCCGGCTCTTGGGAAGGCTAGCCAGGCTGGCTCAGGAAGGGCTCCCACCTCTGCCCCGGCTCTCTGCCACCCTGAGCCCTTCTCAGCTCTGAGGCAGGCCAAAGAGTTTCATGGCCCGGGGCTACCCCACACTGCAGCCCTCTTGGCAGTGCTTCCCAAAGCCTGCATGGGGGTAATACCTTTGCTATACCTAATCAGAGGTGATATTTTTTTTCCCAGAGAGAAGCTGTCTCCCCAAACTTGTCTCTAGTTTGCCTCTCAATATACATACAGAGATGCAAATCCTTGCAGAATCTCCTGCTGGGTCTCCCAGGGCTTAGGTGGAAGATGGCAATGGTACGAACAGTGCTTTCTCCTACAAGGAATTTTCAGCCCCTGTGACTCTGTTCGTGATGGGGAAGATTTGGTTCATGGTTTTTACCTCACCTGTGCTCCTCTCTGGCTGTGCAGCAAAGGCACACAAATGTGTCCCGGACAACTCGCTGGTTTTGCAGGAAAATCTCAGATCATCTGCTTTTGAACAGGTCTTGACTCTATTTCTTAAATAATAGCAATCTATTGCCAAGTAAATGTAACGGTACCTACACAGTAGGTGACAGCTGTGCATCTCTAAACCAAGTTCTGAGCAGGACTCTGCCATGCGCCTGGGGAGGGACCTCACGTAAGCAACTCTCAGCCTTCAAATTGCTTTTTGCAGTTGACCTCAGGACCCTGTGTTGTTGTTGAGCTGTCAGCTGTAAGACGCTTACGGACTTCCATGAGAGGACATACCACCTACAATTAAGAGAAAAATCTGAATGATTTTTAGAATTCAACTGAATAATAAACCTGTGCAAATATAATCCTGACAATGAGAAATTTAACCTTACTGACTTGACAACCTCTTAGCAAATTAGCTCAGTAGGTTTTACTAGCTGGTTTGCAATCCCCTTCTCTGCTCATATTCCTTATATGGGGAAAAGCCCGTGTCCTTTAAGGCTGGGAGGCTCACACACAAACATTCCTATAGGAGTTTACAACCAAACTGAAAGAAATGCTTGAATTTTGCTGGTTGCGTATATACAGTGACATGATTTTGCCCAGTTTTATTGCTCAGAGCTGCTGTTTGTGGGAAAAACAACCCAAATCTCCCTCTTGTTGCTTCATCTTCTCTATAAAAAGTGAAGGCTTGGTATGCAGCGTATCAAGCACGAAAACAGAACTACCAACATTTCTTTTCACCGCATAGCAGTTTCTTTCCTGAATTATTCCTCCTTGCAAGACCCTGAAAAGGAAAAGACATACGGACTATCTAATCATCACGCTCCCAAGAAAGAGTGAAGACGTACGGTCTTTTCCACCGCTTAATGCCAGGAGGCCACTAGCTGCGTATGCGTGGAGAGCCCTGTCCCACGACTGCGTTCAGCGGAGACCATATTTTGAAATAAATCTTCTCTTTGACTCTTTCCTTATTTTTATGCTGCATTTACTACTACTCCAGTAAATGGCTATATATTCCTTGTCTTCTGACATATTTATTTATAGGACAGAAATTCAACCTGGACAACATCAACTTGATTTACTAATAAAAAGGAAACCAACATAGCCAAATGGCCAGATGCATCTTGTAGTCATTAATTAAAGCTTTTGAATTTTTCTGTGAAATAAATATTGTGATATTTAGCCCCCGTATTTAGCTTTTTATCTGTTTCAAGCAATTTTAAAAGGAGGGTGTAGTCTATTTATTTGCACTCTTTGATAGAAAAAATGAAGTAGAAAGAGATTGAATGGCTTATGCCAAAGTCATATATGTGCGTGTCATCCATATGGTATCTGGTCTATCTACTTGTTCTGAATTTTTCCTTATTATTTGCTAGAACATTTTAATGAATATTCACCATATTACAGTAGACGCATTTGCTCTGTGCAAGTCTCTAGGCTTTTAAGAACACTCATAGCACAGATTAATCATTTGATGTTTATTTGGTACAACGTCATATGAGGTCCAGGATTCCTTTGCCATTGCTCCTCAATCTATAAATAAGTAATAACCTTTCCTACTTTTTGTTTGAAATAGTTGAGCTCACTTTTCACGTATGATGGACTAACTTCGTAATTAAATCAATGGCTATGTTGGGGTAACATTTAAATATTTTTATTACTTCTGACGCTTAGGTAAATCAAGTAAGCCTGCCGGCTTCTCAGGATGCTGGAACTGTTTACATTTATAAAGTGATTTCACATCCTTGTCTGAGAGTCACATCTTTATTGATAGCAAGTCAATAGTAATTTTATATTAATTTTTCCATCTCTTTATTATTCATATCAGGAGTAGACACCCATCAAAGGTAATATCTGGGAGTGTTTGGGACTTATCCATTATAAATTTACATAATCACCAATTACTCAAAAATTTCAGAATTTGAGATCAAGGGCTCATTTGTTTCACATCCGCCTCACACTGAATAGGAAGCCTAAACCATGGAGACAGGACATGGCATTTCTGTGCACGTCTTGGGCGGGCTCTTGCGTGCAGTGCTGGCTGTCGGGGGGTCTGCTCTAAGAAGCAGATCTGACTCAGGAGCTCCAGTACCAGACTCAGGTGCCTCAAACACGACGTGTTGCAGAGATGAGACTCATGGTACGTCCGTCCTGTTCTGGATCATGGCCTATGCGATTAACTTCATGTGTCTGAAGAGAGATCAGAGGTGTGAGTTCACTCGGTAATTGCACAGGGTGGTTGGTCTGGTTCCTGGGAGCGTACCCATCCCTCCGTTGAGCAGAGAGGGAAGCCAGGAGGGTTAGACCAAGCATCTCGCTCCACGGTAGCTCCATTCTCTGAAGGTACCCCAGCCTCTCTAAGAACTTTTTGACACCTCTGGTGGAAAACAAGGCCCCCAGCTCTACATGCTGTGTGACAGGGGAGTCCACGCCTGGAGCTGCCTTACACAGCCACAGTGTCGGCCTTGCTGCAATCCGTGCCCAATAACCCGTGGTGGAGCAGCCAAGCCAAGCTGTTTGAGCACAGAGACCTTGGATCTAGTGTTGGGTTTATGAAGTTAGGGCAATTAGCAGGTTCACTGTGTGAGTTGTTTCCACTGGCAATGATTTTGTATGTACAGTGACCGTACATTTCATCTGAACACAGCTTTTACATTAAATCACTAATTCTTTTGGCTTGCTCAGTGAGAATACAAATACTTACATAAACTTCACAAATAGATTAGTGACTGTTTTGTTCAGTTCACACGCAAATTTAATTGGCTGCCTGAAAATTAGCAAACATGACAGAAGTTGTCTGCAGGCAATACAGATATTGTTCATATCTTCTGTGTGTATCTTAGAAAATAGAGACTCTGAACATGTCAATTATGGATGACTACAAATATGCACCCTGTCTTGTCTCTATGACACTCATTTTTCTGCTTTCAGAATTCCCATCTTCATTAGCGTTGTCTTCGCCTAAATTTAGAGATTCGGGGTTATAGGTTGTCTCTTCCCGAACATTTTTATGGTGCTGAGGGGAGCACAGCCTGAGTGGGTTCTCAGGGTATTCCTGTCATAGAAGTAGCTATTTCTGTAATTTATTAGCCAGACACCTTTTGGGATTTACCTTACAGAAGAAAAAAATATTAAGGCAGATGACAAAGAATAAAAATGTGCAATATGACAAAAGCGGTTTGCACCCTACTCATTACATGAATGGGAGTAAATGAGTTGGTTGAAGAAGTCTCTAAGGACTAAAGGTCTCCCGTGACTTAATGGAAAACTCTTGCGATGTGAGAGGGGCCAGACATGTGGGTAGACAAAATGTCAGTTATGAATCCCTCAGAAACCCAGTAAAGTCCTTTTATTTCTCCAGGAGGTTTTTCACAACAAAAGGATGCAGAAGTCTGCCTGCAAGTGAGATGGGGAAGGCAGAGGAGTGCTGGCTGGAAGGACATTTTGGTAATACTTTCAAGATGGCAAGCTGTGATTTTCTGCACTATGGCTGAGGTTATTGGCAAGAGGAATAAGAGCTTTCTGCTCTCCCTGCTTGGGAAAGAGGGTAGTGCATGGTGTGGCCTTCTGGTGCTTTATAGTATTGTCTGTATTTTATGAGAGCTGATTAAAAACCCCATACTTTTCTCTATACACTCAGCATTCCAACTCCATATAGGACCACTGTAGAATGCTGCCTGTAGGAAGCATTAAAACCCGTTCTTCAGCCAAAAATGTTGCTGTCAACTGTCTTTCCGTATCTCTGGAGGACTTCTGATGTGGCTATATTTCTTTCACATCGCGTACACTTTGTGCAACACCTCTTTGTCAAAGGGACTCCTTTTGAGAAGGGTTGTGCAGGGGAATGTGCTATTTTGCATTAGGTATGCTCCCTCATCAGGAAATACAACTCTTAACAAAGCAAAGTATTATGCTTCATAGCTCCAAAACGATGTCTGCAGTACAGTCTTCTGCAAAATACGCAACAAAGTCCTTGTAGTCTAAATGGCAATACAAGGAGATTAGACTACAAGGACTTTGTTGCATATTTTGCAGAAGCATTGTATTGTCACGATGATTGTCTGGTTGACTGACCATCCCAAACAGCAATAGTATATATGCACACTGATCAGTTGTGCTCCTGTTGATATTCATCTCTCTGACGTTGCCCATAGTTATCATGGAGGGGACAAAAATCATCCAAAGGCAAAGGACCTTCACATACAATAATATTTCATTCACAGGGTTTAATTTAGCTATTTTAGTGGCTCCTCAAGAGCTAACTGCAGGAAATCTCTGCAGCCATAAGGTGTGTTGACCCTGAAGCCCTGAGAACTGCTGGCAGACTCTGGAGGAGCGGCAGCACCCTTGGAGAGAAGAGCTGACATCCCTGCAGTCTATGGGGGCCATGGCATGGAACAACTTCCACTTTCCAAGCACAGATGCCTTGCTTCTTGGTTTGCATTTGGCCAGGCACACTACTACAGCTCCTAGAGCTGCTTTCTAATGCATGGTGACTTCAGAGAAGCAGGCCTGGGCAGGTCATGTAACTGCTTTGGTATAAGGTAGCAGCTGCTTTTATGGAGAGCATATTAAATGTCAGAACACCTGGATAATGAAATAATAAGACCCTTTCAGTGAGGAGAAGACAAGACTACCAGCTGTGGAGCTGAAAAGTAGCCTGTCATCCACAAATCAATGTCATGACAGGAGTTTGTGCATTGCTTCGTTTCAACAGCCGTAGCCCTTTGGACATGGTATGTGGTAGTGGTATTTCTCATGAACATCTCAGTGCCGTACTCTTGCATTTAATAAACTCCTTTTCAAAAAGTGTTGATACTGAGCCCCATGATAAGACCAGCTTATGAAAATATTGGGATGTTAATGGCTGTAGCTAGCTTTGATATGCATCCCTTATCATGTGCACTAGCATCTGGGCCCCAGCTGACATATAGAAATCCCCTGTGCATTTTCTCCAAGATGTAGAGAGTGTTTGATGATTTCCTTCAAGAACAGGCTTTATTTTCCCACCTGCTGGCTCAGCTGGTGTTGGATGTTGACTCCTTCCCAGTTCTTGCTTGCTGGGTCCTGGGAGCCTGAAAGGTGATTCCGTCACATCAGAATTAACTGCAAAAAAAGAGGAATAAAGATGGTTAATGAAAAGGGGATTGTAATTGCTCTAATCGATATTTTCACAACTTCTCTTATCTTCTTTACTCTCAGCAGCTAGTAAGAGTATATGTAAAGGTCCCTTAGACTGTGTCTAACCTGTCTGGATGTCAGTACGTCCATGTACTTTTGCCATCCACAAAAGTTCTTGATCATGGTAAGAAGATTGAGAGGAGGGAAAAATGGAGTTAAATGAAAGACTTTTGAAGAAATAAAAGGAGGACATGGGCAGAGGGAGAGGTCAGGGCCTACCTGATCCAAGAGTATGCAACAAACTGATGAGAGAAAGGAAAAGAAAAGGGGGAGAGGAAAGGAAGGGTGAACCGAGAGCTGAGAGGGACCCTGTGAGGGAGCTGGAGGGCATGGGATGGGAACAAATGGACACTGAGCAGCGAAAGACAGGTCAGATCAGAAGTGAGGACGGAGGGAGTTAGACTGGAAAAGTGCTAGAAACAGGGGGCTGGAAAATGAGAGAAATGGGAAGGTCTGGGCAAGGAAACTGTGGCTGGAATGGATAGCTTCCATTAAACCTCCAAATCTTGTTCTTCGAGTTTGATGTGCCTATAAACATAGACCCATGTTATATGGAATTTAATATGCATATATTGTATCTATAAGCATAAGACTAGATGGATTTAGATCTATGCATGGTACGCTATACACTATATTCACGGATATAGAGTTGAAAAAAGGTGTTCCTGCCAAAACTGGTGACATCTTAGCCGTGCTGATCCGTGCAGCGCAGCAGCTCGGGAGCTGCTGGTGGACGGGCAGGTCAGGATGTCCAGGCAGCAGTGACCCCAGGACCCATGCCAGCCCCTCATTGCTCCTCTGTCGAGCCCTTATGGCTCTGGTCTAAACTGCCCCCAGGCTCTGGGTCCAGCCAGCAGCAGGAGAGGGGTCGTGCCTGTGCCTGTGAGTGTGCGCCGTGCACGCTGAGCTACCTGGCAGGCACCCGTTGCCATCTAGTGGCTATTTTAGGACTATCTGTGCGTGGAAAGCAATTTTTTTCCAACCAACCTGCAACCCAGCAATTGCTTTTCTAGAGAAGATTTGCACGATTTGCCCCCCAAAGCCTGCTGAGCGACTTGCACAGAAACAAAGGGTCTGATGCACGTAACAGCAAACGTGCTGCCCTGTCTGTAGCAAGCACAGAGTTCGGCCTTGCGTTACAATCAGGCAAGTCACTCACCGGCTTTCTAGGTGTGGATTTTGCAGGAGGAGAAGGCTGGTAAAATCTCAAAACCAGCTGAGTGAGACCTCAGCCCTGCTGGGAAAAGGCTGGCTCCCTTACTGGCAAAACGGCAACGCTTCCAAGGAGTTCAGCAGCACCAGGATCTTCAACTCTCGCTTATAATAATTCTGGCCCCGAACAGATTATTGGAGCATGCTGAAAGTTTTTCTTATTATATTTTAGTCTATTCACCCTTGCCAGATCCCAACTAGACCAAGACATGATATTCTAGCTGTTGGGCAAGCACAGAGCAAATATTGGTCCAATGGATGTGTTGCACTTTGGCTCCACACCATCTCTCTCCCTTGGTCAATGAAAATTGAAGAGGTGGTGCCGATGGGCTGTTTGAAGTCTGATGCCCTTGAGCGAAAACAAAAGTAATTGGATGTCTTTCCCTTTTTTAAAAGCTGCCAGTCACTTTCCCTTTTTTTTTTTTTTTTTTTTTTTTACAGAAGAAGAGAGGTGATAAAAGCTGACAAAATTTGAGAAAGCTGTGAAAAGAGGGAGAGGAGCAAAGGAATGAGTTCTGGGAAGGATGCCCTGCATTCACTGGTGTCTTTGAACAATCCCATTATCTCAAGAAATCAAATGGACAAATCCCAAGAGAAGAATTAGGTGAATTTACTTAGAAATGTAAAATAAAAAAATTACATTTTGTTATTTTCTTAAAAGGGAGACCTCTGTGAAGGAATGGAAGAATTTTTCTTCTCTGTCTTATAGAGTGCCTCAGTACAACACATCCCCACGCTCAGTACTGTAGTAATGTTTTCTTGTCTTTGTGTTCACTTGTGATGGATTATTCCATTTTGGATTATTGCCATTGTGGTATATAATCATAGTAGCAAGTATTATCCAATTTTACTTTAAGTACTTAGCACTTACCCTGAGCCTATTGCTGTTTTCAGAAGCAAAACTTCCCCAATTCTGAAAATACAATAAAATTGTATGAACATCTACTATGAAGTTATAATGGTAACTGGACAGTGTTTTGTTCATACAAGAAAAATGAAGCTAGCAATATGTCTGTAACAGTAAAGCTTTGTGAATGTGCGATACGGCACAGCTGCCTTTCTCCTTTCTTGGCTATACTTGACGAGGCTCCTTGGTCTGTTAGCTCCAGGTTAAGGCAAACTAATGTATACCTGCAAAGCTTGACTGCAGGGCAAAAATCTGAAGCCTTTGTATGAAAAAAGAGTCAGAAAAAAAAATCTTAACAGTGGACCCCCCCCTCTATTTTTTTAATGCAGAACACTTTCCTTGTTTTATATGTTTATTTCAAAGCAGAAGAAAACTTTTCTTTATGCTTCTTTCTAAAATGAAGCTTTCATGTTGCTCCTCCTTTTCTTTTTCTTTTCTTTTTTTTTTTTCAGTGGGGAAAGAGGGAAAGAAAATGTATGAGACACTGAAAGCTGAGAACAAAAACGGGTTTGATTTTTGAAAACAGAAAAGTAACAAAACTAGATTAAGCAAAATGCAAGTCTTCAAGGGAGTAGTGCCCTGCTTAGAGATACAGTCGTATAGGAAATAAAAGGCATAAACTGCAACAGAGAATTTCATGTTAGAAAAAATGTTTTAAATCTAATATCAGCAACAAGGGTTAGGTGACATGGGGGATTGCCATCGCTGGAGATCTGTAGAGTCTGGTTAGACATCACATATTTGGAATAACCTGGAACAACCTGCCCACTGAATCAGCTGGTCTTTGCCTCCTCCCAAGGCTGGCTACCAGGCAGCTGACTTCCAGAGGTGCTGGTGCCAGACCGTCATAGAGAAATGAACCAACTAATTACGACCTCCAGCCCGCTCTTTGGCAGTCCCATCACACCTACCGCTGCAGGGAGCGGAGAAGGGGAAGGGTACAACCTCCCCACGCTTCCCCTGGGCCCAGCAGCCCTTCATGCATATCCCTGGCGGCTTCTCTCTACCACCTTCATGCCCAGTCTCTGTCACCCAGCACTCCTCTGATCCAGAAAAGGAGCTGGCATCTCACTGGGAGCGTGCCCAGGAGTGCGGGAGTCCCGTTTTACTTTGATTAAAGCTTTCCCCAAAGGGTATTTCCTGTGCTTGAGGGCTGAATAGAGCTCTAAGTTCAAAATTAGTTGAAATGAGGTTTTATCATCAGTTTAATTTTTTTTTAAGTGGCCTTATATTGCCTATTTACTTAGCCTGAAAAATCCTGGCTGAATAGAGTTAAATAAGCACTATATTACTGAGCAATTCTTAGCTCTTGTTTATATAAAAAGAGCAGAGTGAACCTATCATTGTCTGAAAGGAAAGTCACATTCCAGATCTCTGCTTGCTTTGGGCACTGAAGCAGGAAT